GCCGAGTTCGAACTGCGTTACGTAAGCGCAATGGTGCCGGTCAAGTCCGCCAAGGAGTACGGCCTCATCCAGAACGTCATCGCACTGTTCTCTGAGACCGTGCAGAGGTGAGGGACGGGCTCGGAGGGAACACTCTGCCAGATCGTTTAGAGGCGAGGGACGTACTCCCAGGAGACGCTGTGTCAGACCGTGCGGAGGTGAGGGATGGGCTCCGAGGAGACGCTCTGCCAGACTGTGCAGAGGTGAGGAACGTACTCCCAGGAGATGCTCTGCCAGACCGTGCAGAGGTGAGGGATGTACTCTGAGGAGACGCTCTGTCAGACCGTGCTGAGGTGAGGGGCGGGCTCCGAGGGGACGCTCTGCCGGACCGTGCAGAGGTGAGGGACGGGCTCCGAGGAGACGCTCTGTCAGACCGTGCGGAGGTGAGGGATGGGCTCCGAAGCGGCGCTCTGCCGGACCGTGCAGAGGTGAGGGACGGGCTCCGAGAAGACGCTCTGCCAGACCGTGCGGAGGTGAGGGACGTACTCCGAGGGGACGCTGCTAGAGCGAGCTGAGGTGAGGCTGCTGCGAGCCCCCGAATGTAAAGCCTTCTGGATGGCGATGGAGGGGTCGGACTCCTTGACGTGAGTATTTACCAGCCGCCTGTGACTAGTCCTGGTGACCCATGTTGTGACAATGACAGGCGGAACTGAGGGATTCCCACCGTATCCAGCGGCATGACTCAGCGCGCGCGCCAAACACGGCCCGCTGTAGGCAGCTTTCCGTCGGGTGGGCGGAGCTATACAGACGGCGACGTGTCTCTCTTGGAATTGTTATGCCGTGGCTCTGTCTGGTCTCGACCCATGTTGATCCCTGTGTGGACCCCGATGTGTCCCCGAAGTACTCTCTTGTTATCGCTCGGAGACGTAAACTGCTTTTTGTGGCGACTGGTTACCCATTCGTACTCACTTTTGGCAAGTAGATTCAATGCGCTCCAGTGAACGTGACTAGCATGTGTGATATGACTGTTTTGGCTTGTATGGTGTCACGCGCGACATTGTAGACGTGCCTTATTTTGGTTTTGTCGTGATACATGCCGGCGCTCAGTCGGTGGCTGATCGGCATCGGTCATAGTCGGCAGCGCGTGCACCATTATGTAGAGCTAGCAAATTCAACGCATTGGCATGCACAGTCTGTAGTATGTAGCCTGATACAACAGGATAATCGTTGGCGTTTTGTCCGTGGCATGTGGTCGTTTTGGCCATCAACGAGCATCGCAAAACTGTCCGGGCGGCCGCCGCGACAGGGACGGCCAAGCGCGCACAGCAATGCACGAGCAGTAGCCCGTTTGAATTGTTGCTCGTCCCAAGTTTCGTGTGCTTCCGGTTGCAGCGCTCGCGCCGGGGCGTCGCGTGCCCTTAACAAAGCGCATTAGTGGGGGGATCATGGCAGGGGCGCCCCAGCACGCCACCCCGTCAGGTTACCAGTTCACACGCGGCTGGACGGGACCTGTCCGCGCGTCATTGGTCGGCTAACAATCGAGCGGCCGTGGTCGTAACTGGCGTGGCCTGCGCTTGCGTCGGGGCTCATTGGGCGCCGGTGCGGCTGGTGCATGCCCTGGGCGCCCATGTTGTCTTATCTCCCATGAAGAGTGCGTGCTCGTAGGTCACTCGCGTCACCGGTGTTAAGTTGCGTCTCCACCCCTCGTGCCCGTGCCGGCGCGTGACGGCGTCCGCCTGCGCCAGGGCGTTGCGGTTGGGTCTGCTCAGCCAGGAGCAGCTGGACCTGTACGACCCGGCGCTCATGTTCACCATCCCGCGGCTGGCCATCGTCGCCGGCCTGGTCATCTACCCGGACGGGCCTCTGCGGCTGGACCAGGACATCGCCGACATCTCGGAACTCTTCCGGCCGTTCAAGGTAGGGGCGGGCGCCGGTCGGCTCTGGCGGCCGGCCCGCTCGTCGGCCGTCGCTGATGACGCCGAGTGCACGCACTCGAGTCGGCCCTCACGGCCGCCGGCCCCCGTCCGTCTGGGTGGGGTTGTCGGAAACAGCGGTGGAGTGGTAAAACCGGGCGGGTTTCCCAGACGGGCACGGCGCCGGTCCGTTTGTCCGCGGCGACCCGGCGAGTCCGCCGGCCACCGACCGGCCCCGCGTCCGTCGCTCCCGGCGGCGCCGCCCTCGCGCGGACGTCCGGGAGTGTGCGCTTCCTGTGCGGCCAGGCGGCCAGCCGTGTCTGGTTGTGCTCAGACGCAATCGGGCCCAAGGTCGACACGGGCCGGGTGGCGGCGGCCGGCCTCAGTCGTCCGCACGCATGGCACGGAAACGCAGACTGTGCCGCTGACAGGACGCGCCCGCGATAGGGTGCTTGCCGAACTGCGACGCGGCGTGATGAGTTTATGATTGGCATTTGGGGTGCCGTGCTTGCTTCGCACTGCACGTCGATGTTTTATTTATAAAAAACATACTTCACAAAGGAGCAATGTTGCATTAGTAATTTTATCCGATCGTGTTTGCGTTGTTTGGAATATGGTTGGATTCTATGGTTGGTTATTCCATGGCGGCAGGCGTCCGAATGGCTGTACACTGTCCCATGAGAGCGGAAGTGCGATTGGAAAATGGTACCATTGTCAGTTATTGGGGCTTTTCGTGCATTCACCACCAGAGAGTCCACGTGCGGCGTTGTCGCGGTGCATTCAAGGTGACCAGACGCCTAGATCCAGCACCACGCGCTGCCTCGCCTCAGTGTGTAGCTGACCGCCCCCCTCCGCCGCCGGCAGAACCTGCTGTGCAAGATCCGCGAGTTGCTCTGGACGCTGAGCAAGGCCGAGCTGTACGCGCTGGAGAAGGCGCTGTGCTCGGTGGACGAGCCGATCGCCACGGTGGCGGCCGAGGCGCCCAGCGCGCCCGACGCCTACCCCATGCCCGACATCGACGCCTTCGTGGCCGAGTTCTACGCGCGTAACCGGGCTGCCGGCGCAGCGTGAGCCCGCGCCGCCTGCCGCGAGACGGAGGCGCGCCTGCGCCAGTTTCACCTGCACAACGCCGGCGGGCGGGCGCCGCGCCACCGGCGTCGCACCGCCGCCGGCCAGCCGCCGCCGCACCGCCGCGTCGCCAAGAGCGAGCCGCTGCCGCCGGCCGGCGCCGGCCCCGCCGCAGCGGCTGCGGCGGCCGCGGCCGAGGCCGGCGGCCGGGTCGGCCGAGTGCCCGTCATCGCTTGCGATTACGGCAGCCGGTGAGTGACGGCCCCCGGCGCACGGCAGCGGCGCTGTCTGTCGGTGGCGGCAGAAGGTGGTGCGGCTCGTGCTTTTGTATGAGTGTGGTGCGCGGCGCGTGGCCACGGGCTCGTAGGCGGCGGCTGCGCTTGAGCCAGGTGTTTCGTGCCTCACAACACCAGCTGTGCCGGTGCCCGCGGTGCCCGCCCTTCCTGCCGGGGTGAGAGGCAGGCGACGCCATATAGCCTCAGCATGTGAGTGCGTCGTAAAGCTCCAATGACACACACACCAGCTGTGCTTTTTGTGAAATGTTAGGCAGGAGCGCACCGTGGTGCGCCTCGACCCCGGGCCTTCTCTGAGGCCCGGCTCACCAGGTGTGCGGCAGGCGTGTGTCCGTCCCAGTCGGACCGGTTTAAACATTTGGAGAGTGAGAGGTAGTTCACTGGTTGCCGTTACGCTCGATGCTGCTCGCATGTGTACGAATATTTGGAACTGCCTTGCCGGCTCTCACCCATCGCTGTGCTGCTGGGCTCCCCCTTTTCGCTCCCGTTCCAATTGCCGTTCCCGTTCCCGTTGCCGATCCCGATCCCGTGGCTCGTCGGTGCTGCGCGCTCCCTCCGTCACCGTTCGCTGCTCCGTTTGGCGGCCGTCACCCGTGTGACGCGGCGCCGCGCGGCCACAGGCTGGACCAGCGCCGGGACGTGGAGCGGGCTGTGGGCGCCATCCTGGAGGACCTGGTGGGTCTGGCCGTGGCCGAGGCCGAGCGGCGCGCCGAGGCCGAGCCCCCGCCGCCGCCGCCTCCCCCGTCGCCGCCGCCGCCGGCGCAGCCTGCCCGGCCTCACGGCCGCTACCGCAAGAAGAAGCTGACGCGTGCCTGCGCGGGCTCCGGCGGCCTGCTCTACCAACACAACCACTGGTGAGCGGCCTCCCGCTGCTCGCGGCCACACCAACTCAAGGAATACCGTTACTAGTGGTCGTAGGTGGATGGTGACATAGGATGGCACGACACAGGGTGTCCGATGGTGTCGCCACGGTACTCGGCTGCGTGGTTTTGTTCACGGCAGCGCAGTGGCAGTTTGGTGCCGAGTTCAGTTGGTCACTTTAGTCAGCGCGGTTCGTGTGGTCGAGTGTTAAAGGGATTGCTCCACATTTGTGTGCGGTTTCGAACTGAAATAGCCATCTTTAAGATCATTGGGTGCAGTGTACAGCCCTACCCTTCTTAAGACATGAGCTCTTCCGATTTCTGAGCTCTACGCCCGCCAGGGTGAACAGACCATTCCGGGAAGACTTTCAAGTTCGCCGAGGTATCCATGACGCCATAATAACGTCATTCAAATCCTGCCATTTCATAAGTCATGCGACGATTAAGGCCAAGAAAAATGTAATGGTCGAGTCCTTCGTATCTGGCGTTCGTGGGCACGATTTCCAGACATAACGGCAGTTAATTGGCTCTCAATCCATATTTTGCAAGGTGCGATGACGTTATGAGGCAGTGACGCATTGAGGAGCATATTTACTAGACAGAGAACTTGCGTGTCTAGACCAGTCGTTTCCACTTGAAAGTATACCAATAGTTATAAGTGGGCTTGTTTCATCATCTGGTGTTTGCCTCATTATCTTCAGATGTGGAGCATTCCCTTTAAGTCTCCTCTGCTCGAGCCCTGGTATCAATAGCATTCCCTCACTTGCCTCTTCAAAGTTAATTTGCATGCGAAAAGCTTTCCCAAGAGTCGCGCCGCGACTAGGCCTCAAAGCGCTAGTTCATCCCCAGTCCATCTCTGTTCGCACCAGCCCGCGGCGTATGACGGAGGCAGCGCTGCTCCTCGGATAGAAAGTTTCGAGAGCGGGGGGGGGGGGGGGGGGTAGGAGCTGGGACCGTCAGGGGAAGTTACTTGCAAGTGCGGAACTAACTCACCGGCTTGTAATAGACGGCCACCGTCACCGTCTGTGACAGGTTTCAGTGTTTTTGCGTGTAGGTTTTGCAGAGGGAACGATGTGTGGCAATTAACACGAGAAAGCTGACTTTAGTTCGTTCAAACGTGGTAGGTCAATTTGGACAGGTTGGTGTGAGGATGGCTCCGTGCTTATAGACATCAACGCCAGAGTATCGAAAAAGGAGAGGCACAATTGTCAGCTGTATCGGATGAAATGTGATTGCATGTTGCAAGTAACGTGTTGCGATGCAAAAACCTATCTTAGAAGAGAACCCACTGGCCACGGTTCCCGCCGGCGATGACGACGAAAATGAGTGGATTCGTTGGTCGGTTTGTGACCGAACCGAACCCCGCCGCAGCGACCGGACGCCGGCTGGCGCGTCGACGCCGGCGGAGCACGGCCAGCCGTCGTCGCCGTCGTCCTCGACGTCGAGCGACGAGGACCGCGCCGGCCGGAGCGACGACCGCGAGATCGCGCTGGCCATCCAGGCGGCCGAGATTGCCACCCGCAACCGCGCCCGCGCCCGCTTCAAGTCAGTCGCTCGGCCCGCCGGTGCCCGCTGCCTCGTCGGCGCCGAGTCCCCTGTCGGCACCGCTCCTCTGTCGGTGCCGCTCCCCTGTGGCGCCGAGTCCCTTGTCGGCGCCGTTCCCCTGTCGGTGCCGCTCCTCTGTCGGCGTCGCTCCTCTGTCGGCGCCGTTTCTCGTCGGCGCTGCTCCCCTGTCGGCGCTGAGTCCCCTGTCGGCACCCTCCTCTGTCGGCGCCGCTCCCCTGTCGGCGCCGCTCCTCTGTCGGCGCCGCTTCTCTGTCGGCGCCGCTCCTCTGTCCGCGCCGCTCCCCTGTCGGCGCCGCTCCCCTGTCGGCACCGCTCCCCTGTCGGCACCGCTCCCCTGTCGGCGCCGCTTTCCTGTCGGCGCCGCTCCTCTGTCGGCGCCGTTTCTCATCGGCGCTGCTCTCCTGTCGGCGCCGCTCCCCTGTCGGCGCTGAGTCCCCTGTTGGCGCTGCTCCCCTGTCGGCGCCACTCCCCTGTCGGCGTCACTCCCATGTCGGTGCCACTCCCTGTCGGCGCCACTCCCTGTCGGCGCCACTCCCCGTCGGCGCCACTCCCTGTCGGCGCCACTCCACGGGTCATTCAGCGCCTGTAATCTCGGCCGGCTGTCCGGGATGCGCTGCCGGTGGTGGTAAAATACGCTGTAGTGGCGTGCTGGTGCTCTGCAATGGTTCGTGTGTCGACTGTTGGTCCCTGACCACGCCCGGTGTGTGGAGCTTGGTGCGACGGCGTGGCGTCGCTGCTGGCGCCGGCCTGACCGGACGCCGTCTCCACAGGGACAGCCAGGATCTGATCCACCGGCTGTTCGTGTGTATCTCGGGCGTGGCCGATCAGCTGCAGACCAACTTTGCCTCCGACCTGCGCAATATCCTCAAGGCCGTCTTCCAGATCAATGCTACGCCCGAGGAGTCGTCCAGTGGCGGTGAGTGGCCGGTGTGGGGCAGGACGAGGCCGGCGCGTGCCGTCGAGACCGTTCCACTGTCGCTGACAGCTGCACGTCCAGCGCGTGGGATGATGTGTCGCTTGGGGACGATGCTGCGCCCGTGCGTTGGCGATGTCGCCTGAGAACGTGCTCCGTCCGCCGGCAGAGCTGAGCCCGTCGTGCGGCTCGGTGGACTCGGCCGAGGAGGCCCTCTCGACGGACACTGTCATCGACGTGGTGGAGGTGGGCGGCGAGCCACCGCCGCCGCCGCCACCACCGCCCCCGCTGCTCTCCGAGGAGTCGCACCTGGCCAGCAACATGCGTGTGGTCGGCGATCACATGGAGGCCGAGGTGCTGGTGCACGGTAGCATCGGCATCAGCGGCGAGGCCGGCCTGGTGCAGCAGGTGCTGGCGCAGGGGCCGACGCCGCGGCCGCCGCCGCGCGACCCCGCGCCCGCCACCGTCACCGTGCCGGCGCGGCTGGCCGAGGCGCTGGAGCCGGCCGCGCCGCCTCTGCCGGCGCGCCGCGCGCCGCCCGAGTGGGTGCCCGACCAGCTGGCGCCCGAGTGCATGCAGTGTGGCCAGGCGTTCACGGTGATGCGCCGCCGCCACCACTGCCGCCGCTGCGGCCGGGTGTTCTGCTCGCGCTGCAGTGGCGGCGTGCTGCCGCTGCCGCAGTACGGACACGTCAGCGCCGTGCGCGTGTGCGATGAGTGCCTGGCGGCCGAGACGCAGACCTGAGGCGGACCGGCGCCGGCCGCCGCCACTGGCGGCGAGCCCGCCGCCGGCCGCCACGCAAACGCTGCCTCCCGCCGGAGCGAACAGTCGTTACTGTTAGCCAAGGTCAATACTCGACAAGTTTTGTATTTTGTCCAAGTTAGTCCCGGTGCGTCCCTATTTTCGTGACGGCGAAGAGGAGTTCCTGTTGGCCGCCGTGTCCGATGTGTACGCTGTTATCGGGTGGGAGCTTGTAGTCGGTTCGGTCCGCTATTGACCCGGTGCCTGCCATGGCCCGAGCTGGAGCCGTCAGGTACGCTTGTGTGCAGTCTTATTGATTGCCATTGCTCGGGTCTCATTTAGGCAAGCCGGTGCGGACTGCGACAGTTGTTTGTTAGGCGTCCGCTCGACGGTGCTCAGTTCGCAGCGCGGCATGGACTCGTCAGCTTCTCGCGACAGCAGGCGCTGCTACTTAAAGGTCGTCCCGTCTCCGATGCCGCTGCGGCTGCGGCGGCGGCGGCTGTCACAAAAGGTTACGTGCGTCACAAACCAGTCGTGACCGCCAGGTCTCGCGTGGGCTCGCGTGCGCACGGCGCATGGATCGACTGCTCAATCGGCGCGCGGCGGACGCCTGCCTCGGGAGGACCCGTGTAGGGGAAGGGCTCGGACGGGGCCATGTCACGGCGACTTTTGGGGCGGGACGCGCGCGCCCGGCGCCGGACCGGCCTGTCTGCGGCCGCCGGGGCCGCCAGGGCTAGCTACTTAAGCGGCGCGCGGGCCGCCGGGCGACGCCGCCTTCGTGATACCGGCGCGCCTCGGCGTCGCCCGCCGGCGTCCTTGTACTCACGCCGCCTGCCCGCGTCCGACACGTTTTAATTTGGGACGCGCTACTGTGATATCGACGGCGACCAGGCGTTTATGCATGGGGCGGGTCGCGCTTCGTGGGCGGCGGGTGCTGGTTTTTTTAAGGCGCATCCCACAATACACGTCACGTGCGTATCGCTTGGTGTTTGCCGGCTGTGCGGGGACGCCGTCGGGAACCGCTGGTCCGCTCAGTTGCTGGACGCAACTGAGCGGACCAGGGCCATTTGGTCAGGGGGCGCCCAGGCTGAAGATGGAAGGACGGAGGCCCGGCTGCCGCTTCAGGGGAACAGCGGTCGTCGGGATGTCGGCCGGTGACGTCAGACCCGCCATCAGCTGAGTATGAAGCGCTGCGAACCGCCCGCGGTCACCGCGTGGGTCGCCGCGCGCGACTGTCCGACCCATGGACCGTCGGGCGTCGGCTGCCTGGCGTCGGCTGCCTGACCTGTGGACCGGCGGTCCTCGGCCGTCCCACCTATGGACCGTCGGGCGTCGGCTGCCGGGCGTCGGCTGTCCGACCCGTGGACCGTCGGTCATCGGCTGTCCGACCTGCGGACCGTCGGTCATCGGCTGTCCGACCTGTGGACCGTCGGTCATCGGCTGTCCGACCTGCGGACCGTCGGGCGCCGTCCGTTCTGATTGCGTTCCGCAGAAGCACCGGCGGTCGGCGCTATAACGGACCGCTACCGGCGTCTGACGAGACGCGAACGTTTCGCTGGCAGCCGATCTGTGCGAGTGCTGTCTAGCGTCGTATCTACGTCAAACGAATGCAGTTGCCACGCTGGGTTTATTTTTACGGACACAACTCTCGGCAGTGTTAGGCTTATCTGAACACATTATTTCAGACCCAATTCGATGCTTCATGTTTCGATGCTAGAGCACTTTGGAACGCATCCCATGTTGGACCCAGTGACGGATTCTTTTTCAAGATCATGTGTTTACCGATCTCGCTGATACAGTGCAGCGTGTCACCACACATGGCGAGTGCCACGGGCGCGCCCGTGCCGCGCAGCCCTGGTCGAAGTCACCTCAAAGCAACGCCAGCACCACAGCCTCGACTGTCTGAACGATGCGGCTATCGCCTAGCCGCACGCGTCAGCGTGCAACGCCCTTCGCATCAAAGCCGCGTCCCGCCGAGAGAGCGGGGAGACGCGCGGCCGTGTGGCCACGCGGCGGCTGACGTCACTGGAAAGACTTGCACCGCGCCGCGGCGGCCGGCCGCCAGGCAGCGCGCGTGCGACCCGATCAGTGGGTGCGACCGCGGCCGGTGTGGCGGGAGAAGCGCGCGCGGCCCCGCCGGCGCCCCGCCCGCCGCCGGTGGCTCGACAGCCCCCGGTGGCCCGACAGCCGCCGACGCCTCTTGCGCACGCCAGACCCGTCGTCGTCCCAGTTGTTGTAGTCGCCGTATTCGCCGTAGTCGTAGGTTTCGGCGGCGCCGAGGCCGGGCGCGATCGTGGCGCCCGGCTCGTCGCCGTAGTCGTAGTCGATGTAGTCCTCCGGCGTCCCCTCGACAGGCTCTTGGTCAAGGGTGCCGGCTGCAAAGCAGCGCCGAGTTACCAGGTGCTGCGCTTCGCCAACGGACAATCCCATGACGTCACTGGAATGCTGCAATGGTGCCCGCCTTGAGCTATTATCGTCCCTGTTGCCGCGGCGTGTTCTCTGTGGCGTCATCCACGTGCCCGGTGCGTGAAAAAATTACCGGCCACAGGCCTTCGGCGACCGAAAGGACGCCTTCTACGGTACATACCTCTGAGCTCCGCAAGCTGCTTCTCCATGTCCTGTAGTCTGGCCTCCAGAGTGAGCACTTTTATGGTCAGTTCTTCCACCGCAGCTGGCGCCCCCTCTCCTGGATAACAAGGCACGTTGTATGAGCTGTCGAAAGCACGAAAGCTTCCAACTAGTCGGTCTCTTAACGAAGCTTGCATTGTTTGTTTTGTTTTCCGCAATGCCATCTGTTAACTGAAAGTGTACCAATATGCTTTATGTGATGTAAGATACTGTTTGCGGTGTGTGAAGGTAACATCAGGATCGACAGGTATTGCAAAGCGCGTCCCGGTTCACACAACCCAGGATCCATTGCAAATTAGCACATGCTCGTTTAGTCGGCAACACACTACCGCCTTGGAAAACTTGTTAAACGACGGGCCTCTTAGGAGCCGTCCATAAATTACGTTCCGCATTTTTGGCATTTTTCAATGATCTTCCCTTCGTTGCGCACTGATTACGCTAGGCGAAACTCTCTCCTGGTAACACGGCGTAAAATGTACTTTCCAAAAAAGTAACGCCTGTTTGGTCGCCAATTAAGCGAGATATGCGAAACAAGTAAGGCATCAGTTGCTGGTCTTGAAATGGAGTCAGTTATATCTACCTTTGAGCGTATACGTCTTTTAATAATCTTGCAATGGTTTGCAACCACGCCTGAGCGTCACGTTATGCTGTCCAAACCCTCCCTCTCTTCGTTTGCTACGCTTCCGTTACGTCCCAGCAGAATTTGCCTCCCTCCTCCAAGTATAACGTAATTTACGGACGGCTCCTGGAGCATCGAACCCACGTCTGAATGACGTTGCGCCTTAATGCAGTCGATGATCAAACCAATTAAGAGATGAAAACCTTCCAACGTGACAAGGATGCGTTGTTCTGCGTGAGTGGCATACGTCGATACCACGGCTCCTTCGACAGTGAGCAGTGAACGAACGCTGGCATCCTGTACCAAACGCCCCGCCGGACGCCTTGTTGGACAGCCCATTTCCCAGAGCGCGGCGCCTTCTGGTGGCGTCCCCTGCGACAGGTGGCGCCACCATTGCTGACCTGGCGTGGTGACCGGTGCGGCTCCGCCGAGGCCGGGCGGACCGGGCTCGCCGGGCTCTCCCTTGGGCCCGGCCAGTCCGGAGAGGCCCGGCTCGCCCGGCGGGCCCCGCAGGCCCTGCAGGCCGGCCTCGCCCTTCTCCCCCTGGGGGCCGCGCGGTCCCGGAGGGCCGGCCTCGCCCTGCACGCCGGGCAGCCCCACCAGACCGGGCTCGCCTGCCGGCAGGCGCGATGTCAGCTGCGCGCCGACAGTCATCACTCACGGCAGCGAAACACCGCGGCACCGGCCACCCATCACCTGGGAAAACCTGGTCACCCCTGGTGATTGGGTAGGAACATCTTCAGCAATATTTTTCTAAGGCACATATTTACATCGTGACAGCAGGCAGCACTTGCTGTTAAGTATGGAAAAATACATTGCTTACGAATTGGATAGCGGGATATTTGTAACTTTGTTCATAACTAAGAGCTGAACCCGTGCTCCGTTCCCCGACGCCGGCTGGCGGCCTGCAGCGGGCCCAGCCCCGTCCCCCACCTCTGAGGCCCGGCTCGCCGGCCGGTCCCGGCGGTCCGGGACGTCCAATAGTGCCGGGCACGCCCGGTGCTCCCGGCACTGAGTAGCGGTCCTGCGGCCGGTCCGGCGTCAGGGCCGGGCCGCCCACGTCCCCTGGCTGGCCGGCGTCACCTGGGTGGCGGTACAGAACGCGTCAGAGGGTGCCACAGCCGACACTGGACCCAGGCTCATCCAACAACGGCCGGAGGCGCTGGTTCCGGTTTGGAACAAGTTTAGTTCGGAAGAGGTAGCTTTTGACATCTCATGCTCACGATGTTAGGGGTGGCCGGGCCTTTAATCGCGTGGCTAGTGAGTTCATAGCAAAATGTGCGCAATGCCTCTACTATAACCAGAAACTGAGCGGTCATGCTGGTGTGAGCTGGTTTCGAACGGGATATTTCCGCAGAATTCTGCGCAACCTGGCAAGTTTTGCTTTCCTCTCTCATGCCATGGCATGGAAATGAATTGCAAACAATGCTCATGATATTAGCAACGCATCTGTTCACGGATTCAAATTTGCATTTGCGTACCCTTCGATTTGACCAAAAAATGCGCAGAATGGAGGCTTTAACGTAGGCACACAATATTTAGCGACATTATGTGGTACATCCAGCTGTTTGACCCTCGGAGATAAAATAGGCAATCGAGGCTCAGTCTTGTGTGCCCTTAACTGCTCTCGGTACCAAGAATTGCGCAAAAATTCCAACACCAGCATGCCAAATCTAGAAAAATGATAATCCACACCCAATAAATAGACTTGATAATCCAACGTTTGACGCTAGGGCAACGAAGCTAATAACAGCTGGGCTCTAAAGCTTGCTTGTGAAGTTACTTGTTGGCGCTTGTCGAAGGTGCTTGATGAAGGTGCTTGGTTAAGTTGCTTGCTTGGAAAGCTTGCTCGTGAGATCGAAAACAGGTGGCACCAAGAGAAAGTGTGGCGTGTAATATGTACCAAAGTGTGCTCAAACTGGGATCCATTACGGTTCGCTCGCCTCAGAGTAAATGTTACCAAAGGCCATAATGTTTGCTCATTTTCAGTGCTCGCTTGTGCAGCAAATCTGCAGTCGACCTGCCACCGCTAATCGTCTACAAGGAAGACAAAATTAAGTTGCGTTTCAGGCCTTCCAGCATACAGCCTTCAAGCCACAAACATGAGAAACATCTGGGAGAGTCTGGCGTTTTAACTGAGAAGAGCTGTCACTTTGGTAAAACAAGAGCCTACACGAAGCTGTGCAGTTTATGCGCAACAAGGATGGCATGTCACGACAGTCAGCCGCGTCGCCAAAACAAGAGGCCACGGACGTCACGTCTCCCAATAATGAGACTGGCGGAAGGGCGCAGCCCGTGACTAGGCCGCTCGGCCTCACGGGTCCTGGAAACATTGGCAACATGCCCTTCTTGGACGCGGTGCTGCAGTTCCTCAGCAGCGCCCGCACCCTACGTGACTACATCTTGAAGGGGACACTCATCAGAACATTTGGCACGCTGAAGCGAGACCTGTGAAAGAGCTCGGATAGGGCTGACCGGGCGCTGACTACCTCCCCATTGAGGCCGTAGTTCCAGAGGTTCGTCTCATTTCGCGGCCCGATTCATAAGCCATTAGCAACGGGACGCACAGGAGTGTCTTAGATACCTGCTGGAGGGCTCGCATGAGGGCGTGAACCTCATTAACAGCCAACTCGCGCCCATAACCACCGGCACCGATAACAGTTTCAGTGCCAACCAGAAGCCGCTGGAGGCCTGGCAGCGTTTCCTGTTCCTGAAGAACTCGCAGTCCGTTGACCCATTTGCTGGACAGCTCAAGTCCAAGCTGCGGTGCACGGCCACGTGTCCGTGGTGTTCGACCCGTTCTGGCACCTGAGTCTACCAATCGCCTCCATAGCGACCCAGGTATGATTGCAGGACTGCTTTGATCTTTTGCGCAACTGCACCTAGTCGATGTTTTGTGTAGCTAATGCCGAGCTGCCAGGTATTAAAAAAAAACACGGAAAGAATCGCCCGTTCATAAGGTTCTACGACCGCTGCTTTCCAGACTGGTTCCTAGAAAGCTTCTACTGGGTTCTCCTCAGGATCAGGCCCATACTGGCGAAAATCCTGCTAGCACCCCGGCGCATATATGCGGTATTGACAATCACCATAAGGTGCATCCACAATGTGCCGACTGACTGCCTTTCCCAAGTATATGCTCTCTTATGCAATTCTCATCATTTACGCTTTCAGTTCACTACAGAGCTTGAATTGTTTCATGTAGTTGGGTCACGGAGGCTTCGTAAAGACACGCCAGGTCGCTTTTCAGACAGATGGAAAAGGAGAAATTCTTGACCACATAAAAGGCAACTAAGCTCGCCAAGAACAGTGACATCACTAGTGCACACCACAAGTTTGTGCTACGCAGCAACCTAAACCCCTCATCACCGTGACGTCATCCGTGCTGGGCGGGCCGCCGAACCGTCCTCTGCGGCTCTGGGGGTACGTACCTGGCCGGCCGGCCGGGCCGACGGGGCCCGGCTGTCCGGGCGGACCGGGCGGGCCACTCAGTCCCGGCAGACCGTCCTGTCCCGGCGGCCCTGGCGGGCCCTCGGGGCCCACCGGGCCGGACAGGCCGGGCAGGCCCGGCGCTCCCGGTGGGCCTGCTGAGCTCTCGGGGCTAGCCGTGGCGGCCGTGCCGGGCAGTCCGGGCAGTCCCGGCGGTCCCGGCGGACCCGGCAGGCCCGGCGGGCAGTCGCACCGGCCTGTCGCCGGCGGTGGGAACTCGCGGCCGGGCTCGTCGTTGGGCGGCGCCGGAGCCCCTTCGGCGGCTGCGGACAGAGGGCGCGTGTGGCGGTGTGGCCGGGTCGGCTCCGGCACGCTGGGTGCTCCCAGCCGACGCACGTTATCCCAGCTGGTATCGCCGCGTGACTCACGGTGGCTTGCGTCACTGGTGCGAGCGACTTACACTTCGACACCATTTCGCCACTTCATCAAACGTGCAGGGAGCACAGCGCGCGCAATAGTGAGCATGTTTTCTCTCAACCGACAGATTCTGAGGGAAGGAGCAGAGACCAGGCACCTAGTCCACGCTGTTCACTCAGACAATGGCTGACATTAACGATGTCGAATTAGACATTGGCTGACGGTAACGATGACATTCAGACTTTGGCCGACGACAACGATAAAGACACGAACGAGATAAGTTGTGCATGCTATTTACAACAGTCACGTCCGACTGCTGGACCCGGCATTTGGACGTGTGGTGGTTTGCATACACGGAAGCCGCACGGAAACGTAGCTCAGACTATCGTATATGGTTGTCAAATGCATTTGTGCCTGTGACAAAGCCCCGTCTGCTAACACTTTGCGAACGACCGGCGTAGAAGACAAATAACCGACTCACGGCTAGCTGGGCGTGGCTGGGGCACCGACGAGGGGCTCCGTATTTTGACGAAGGCCTCCAACGTAATGACACGACTCAGCAGATCTCGGAAGTTTGTGCAGTTAAAACAGGCTGCGGAGAGTCGGGCCGGGCAGTGTTAGGCGGACCGGGTTTACCCTATGCGCTACACATTATTACGATTACTGCGTTTTGCTGTGTCCAGGGATGGACGGTAAAGTTTGCGGTGTAGTTTCGTTGCGTCCGGCACTTCACGTACAGTACGCCAGGCACGTATTTCAGCTGTTTCACAGTACCATTTCCCTGGTGCCGGGGAACAACAAATAGAATGAACAACAAATAGAATGTGAACAACAAATAGAATGATCTGAATGACACCAGCAGCGCTCACCCGCTACCAGCCACCACCGCCGATAGTCTGTAAATACCGCACCTTCCCTGCACTGTTGTCCCTCGAAGCCAGGACAGCACCCGAGGCCGGGCTCCATCACCGTTTTAAAGGTCTCCACGTAACGGGTTCGCGTGCGCTTCCTGGAAGTGGTTCGAGCCACCTCAGCACATGGAACGTATGAGTGCATACCTTTCCTACACACGAGGTCTGATATTTATTCAGTCGTCCTAAGGATAATGTTGTTTTGCGTGTGGCAGTGTCTCACTGGCGCACACAACGGCGGCGCACAACGAGATGGGCGAGTGGACAGGCTACGGGGAGGGGCGAGGGTGGGGTGGGGAAGAGCAGGCTTCATTTGATTTGCTCATGGCGCTGACGCCTACACAGAAGCATGCGATGTGTCATTTGTACCACACCGTTTAGAAATATTGCCATTGCGTGCTTTTTTACCTATCCCTGCTGCATACGCATCAGTAATGACACCGGTATTCAGCTCTCATTTCCCCATTAGATTATGTTATCGTCGATCTGTCGACGCGTCAGACGGCCGTCAGCCCCGCCTACCCACACGGTGGTCTGGCAGTCTTTGTAGTTGCCTGTCTGGAGACATCGGCGGCTCTGGGCGTCGTACTCCTCCGTGCCGTTTGCCTCTCGGCACGAGACTCGCTTCTCCACCATCATCGGGCAAAAGTTGCTGAAACGACACGATAAACAACACGATCAGTCGCTGTCACATTATGCAAAGCTAAGCGTCAAATGCGCCGACAAGCAGTAGACGCGTGGAAAACCCAATGGCTATGAGCTTGAAGTCATCGCCATGCATGCTTGTTTCCAAACGGTATCACCACAAACCAGGGGATTTGCTTTCTAAAATTGGTCGAGGGGCTGAGCCGATAGATAAAGTTTGACCAGCCCGTCCCCAAATCCTGATTTACTCTCAGATTTCGGTCACTTTAATTTGCGTCCCGATGCTTTTTTACAGCTCGTCAGCTCCAAAATTATTTTGCTGCTGAGGAATGGCTTTCCATTCGAAGCCGGTCTAAGGCTACCTTTTGAAAAACTTAAAATGGCGTGTCATTCAGAGAACAAAATATTAGTAAGTCGACCTGCTGTGATCAACGAAAATTGGTGCCGTTTCTCGTTCATCAAAGGTGACTGTGGGCGCAAAAAGATGAGATAACGCAAAAAATATCTTGATCTAACACGCACAGATGATAGGCAATAAACATTTCGTGTACACTGCCAGGACTTATCTGCATGAAGAATGCGACTGAACTTCATGATCCTCTCAACAGACATGTAGATAATTGGTAGGACATACACGGTAACGGCTGGTGACTGTACGGTCACCAATCACCGTTTAAAGAAGTAGCGCAGCCAGCCCTTTGACACGTGAGAGTTGTATGGGCAGCAGGGCCTTGAACTCTTGGAGTTCCGGCGTTGACTTGCTGGTTTTATGTTGAAAATGAGCGATTTTCAGTATACTAGGGGTTGTGGTTAAATGACCTTGTCAATAAACACCCGTTATATTTAGCAAAACCCGACGTTTGGAAGCTTTGCAAATGGTCAGATGTCTTCGGAAAACGTGTCGATGCCACCCCAATATATTTTTTTTCCTCCGCAGCACGCCACATAAAATGTGGTGATTTCATCATTCGACACTATTTTTTGCGGCGCAACCAGATGGAAGATATAGTGCCGAACTTTGCTTTTGATCATTTCGTCCCAAAATGTGCTATAGCCCGTCCCGACAGCTCACTTGGTCAGAGCGTCTGCCTTTCGATTCACCCACCTGTGGTGGGATAGGTTCGAGTTGCTTCAGGTGTTCGCTATTTGTCCCCAGACTGGGATAGCCTGCGGTCGGTGGCAGCGGCCGCGCTGATGGTTAGATGACGTCAGAAATCAGTGCGGCTGTGCTGAGCATTGGCGCATGTCAAGCTTTCGTCGCAAAAGTCTGCCGTTGACCCGTAATTTTACGATCGGATGTTGGGGTCAGGGCTCACGCCAACACGCAGTGCTTAGTGTGGGCGCTCATCACAGAAATGCATCCAATCAAAGAGTTGGTACTAAATCATCATTAAAATAATGGCTACCCACACTACATTACATTACAATTCGGTACACACCAAAGCACTAAGAAGGTAAGCCGTGTATTACAAATGCGAAGAGCATTGCTAGTATGTTATGTTCGTCAGCCATGTGGCGCTTAAGATATCCCTTCGGCTCCGTGCGAACGGATACCCGGAACACTGAGTGAGCTCTCCCAATTGTGCAGTAAAATCTCGGTTTAACTAAGCAACAGTAGGAGCTTTGCAAAGCGGTCGCGCACAACCGAAATGAACAGACGTTCTCTATGTAAAATTACCATTGATTAAGGGTGGCTCGGACAAGAGTTAACCTAGATTTTTCTTAAGTGTCAAGCGTGTTTCTCGCACCTTCAAGACTGCGGGGGCATGGAATGAAGAAAACATTATAAAAACAATGCCCTTCATCAGTTATCTCACCTTTATCAATCCGACACTCAATAGAAGATGTTTTAACTACGAGAACGAGGATTCTATCAACACCACATCAGAGCGCCACATCGTTACCGCACTGATGCCCTTCCCAGTGGCTCTGATATCCTTCTGGGCGGCGCCGAGACGACTTCACGTGATTGTTCGGAACCGGGAGTGGTTCCAGCAGGACAGGGTGACATCCCACATGACACGCGCTTCACTGGATTGATTGGAGGAGCATTTGCCTGGGATGCGCAACAACTTAAAAGTGCTGCGAAGAAACTTCGCAGCATCGTCCGACCTGTCGCCACTGAACGTCCCTGCGACAAACAGGATGCATACAAGATAACATTCTCCCAGCTGTTTGGTATCTCTCAGGGATAATTACACTGCACAATAGCTAGCATAGTTAAAACTTCTTGGCTTGTGACCAACGATACTGTGCATAATTTGTGTTATAAAACGCGCCTTTTGTTGCTCGGTTTCGAGCCAGAGGAGGCCATGGGGGTCTGCTCAGTCTGCTGACGACGTGCCGGCCGGTGCCTGCCCCGGCGGTGTAGCACTGAGCCACTGCTGTACGGCAGTGGGTCGACATCGCGCCGTCCTGTCAGACGACTGCAGGTCTGGTGGAGCGCGGCCTCGCCGCCGTCCTGCCAGGGGACTGCAGGTCTGGTGGAGTGCGGGCTCCCCGCCATCCTGTCAGAGGACTGCACGTCCGATGGAGTGCGGCCTCGCCGCCGTCCTGCCAGAGGACTGCAGGTCCGGTGGAGCGCGGGCTCCCCGCCGTCCTGTCAGACGACTGCAGGTCCGATGGAGCGCGGCCTCGCCGCCGTCCTGCCAGAGGACTGCACGTCCGATGGAGCGCGGCCTCGCCGCCCTCCTGTCAGAGGACTGCACGTCCGATGGAGCGCGGGCTCCCCGCCGTCCTGCCAGGGGACTGCAGGTCCGGTGGAGCGCGGGCTCCCCGCCGTCCTGTCAGAGGACTGCACGTCCGATGGAGCGCGGCCTCGCCGCCGTCCTGCCAGAGGACTGCACGTCCGATGGAGCGCGGCCTCGCCGCCGTCCTGCCCGGGGGCTGCAGGTCCGGTGGATGCGGGCTCCCCGCCGCCCTGCCGGGGAGCCGCAGGTCCGCCGGAGCGCGGCCTCGCTGCTGCCGGCCTGGCCCGGCGCTGCAGCCGCCGCCTGCAGCGCGGCCCGGTGCCGTGACACACATTCCTGACCCGTGGCCGCGCCGCGTCACGCCGGTCGTCTGCAGCGCAGGGCGGGATGCCTCGGCTGCGGCATGCCCACACAAATATGCCGAGCGGCTAACTAAACGACAGCGTAGTTTGAGCCTTCTCCTGATGCCAATAATCACGATGGCCTCCGAATGGGTAGCTCTTATTTGTCTCACGTGTAGGAGAGAGTATGGAGAGCAATATCAGTTTTTAATTTCAGCACCCCCATGCCAAAACAGCACTACGCTGCTCTTATCTTCATACCACATGATGTAACCTAGCCCGCCCTGAAATAAGATGTATCGCATGGTGGGGGAAGTTGTCCTGTTGGTTAGAGTAGGGTGAATCGCAAGGAAGCGAACAGGTTACGATGCGTAAACAAAAGACGCTCGTCTCTGCTAATTCGTCATTGGTCGTGACTGCGACTTGATAAACATTTTTCCTTTCTAATCTATCAGCGTTTTTACAGCTACCGCCCCCATGGTTTTGGCTGTTTGGTTGGAATTTATGGTTGTCCCTAGATACTGCAAATGCTGACATATTGTCTGGATGGCAGTAAGTAATGGCGGTCATGTCAGCCAATCAATGACAGTGGATCAGTCAATGGCATCATTGTCGGTATATTGAATGACTGATACAACACGCCCCATGCACGGCTGATACAATATGTACCACCCGACATTTTGGAAGAAAGTTCGCACCACCCCGAAACCCTTGGCAAACAGACGCCATGGGAAAAACATGTTTACGCCATACACATGCTTTACGGCACAAGCGGCACATGTGCTACCCAACACTTGGTATGGCATTCGTCTTAGTCTGGCTATGCCGTGAGACCTTAAACACACATTTCCACGGATTGCTAAAATTTCTAACGATTTGAAGAAAACATTTTTGCTGTGCTCACCCCGAGACGCGTGCACGTACGCAGTCGGAAGTACAAGGAACGATAAAGGGCGCTGACGTGCATCAGCCGAGCGACTCAAGACCGGTATCTGTAGCATAGATTTAGAGTAAGTCACCCTGATACTGCTTGGGCATAATGCAACTCACCCTATTCTCGTGGACCGTTGTGCGCAAGTTTTCTCGGAGTCGGCGCCTTATGAATAGATGTACTAGCATCCACATTGGCACGGAGAAAGAATCGAGCACATTTCCGCCTTAACAATGCCCACATGCGCTGAATCTGCTCACGAGACGTGTGATGGGTCAACGCCGCGCGAACACTCGTATCATCAGGTGACACGCAGGGACCAGCGCCAAACACGTGCGTGCATGAGCCATGCGAGAATCTCGTTTCCCCCATGCGGTGCCTGCGACGTCTCGCCTCCACTTCAAGCGCACGCGTTCCAGTGGGAGCGTCGGTGAGCCAAACAGGCCCGAGCGCACGGAGCCGCACAGTACCTATCCGACAGATCATTCAGACTCGTGATGGATGACGGGCTCGTACCCGGCTAATGGCGCAAGCACCTTGAGAGTGAGAGAGAAAGTCCGCGGAGCAGCCATCTTGCCGGATCAAGGCAGGTCACACGCTGAACAGACTCCGTTCTGGTGTTCTGAGATGCTGCGCGTTTTTTTTTTCGCAGGGGTGAAACTTTGTTTTTCCTATTTCCGACCTCACCAAAGATATTTCCCAGGTGCAGTACTTCACGGATCTCGGACACATTATGTTGTGGCCATAATTTGAACCTTTTGTGCTTTTTGTAAAAAGGTAAGAAATTCCACGTAAAATACGGCTGGGTGGAATCGGAGTTTTAGTGCGTGGACCTTTCTATCAACATATTATGCCGGCACGTTCAAAATCACGCAAAATCACGCACATACTTACGCTTACAAACTTTTCGAACGTGTCCCACGCAAGCACGTGCACATTTGAATATGGGCGATGTTACATGGAGAGCCCTTGAATAGCGTGTAATATTTCAGGGGTGTGACAATCTGTAGGACAGGAGATGGTTGTTAGTATCTTAGCAATGTTTCTTTTAAGGTGCCTGACAGCTTCCGAAAATGTGATAT